CCATATTGATAAACATTCTTTGGAATGTTTCAGCCCATAGCTCCTGAAATACAGCCTCTCCCCACAGAAATCCTCTGTATCGATGCAACAAAGCATTCACCAAAATTGCCAGAGCTCTCAGCTCAGCATCCTTTGGAGCTGTAGAGGCTTTAGGGGGAGGAACGTGGGTGACTCAGTGTTCGCACTCCAAACAGAGCCTGTTACAAAGTAAGAAAGCTAAAGCAATTCTCTAGTATTGAAATTCCTCAAAGGCTTCTTCTGGATTTGATCTCTCTCTAACCTCCCAATAAAAAGAAAATGTCTACAGAATTACAGAAATTTTCACTAAGAACTCCACAGGGGGATAAGATTTCTTGTGCCTGTCCCCCAGCTAGAGTAACAGCTCTTGGATCTGTTTCAGTGTAGACAGAATCAATGTCTAAGTAGTCTTACTCACTTTTTTTAATCTCTTGATAAGAATGCAAATGCCATTCTTGCTCCCTCCGCCTCTCTCACCCTCTTGAAATAGGCTGTTTATGGTGACTAAATGCTTCTATGCAAAACTGGCTTTCGTCCAAAACCAGATGGGCAGAAAGCCTAAGAGCAACAGAAAACTAATAATTTACATGAGGACACAGTGCCGAACCACACAGAATGCTTTGTTTAAACTAGCAGAACTCTGCATCATCTTCAATATATGTAAATAACCAGCTAGTGTGGATTTCTACAACAATGTTGGCGTATTTCAAAATACTTACATACTCTGAGCAGCTCTTCTGACCCTGATAGATTCGATCTCCGTTGCTGATTCTTTGACAGAAAATCAGATGTTGGCTTGAGATTTGTACTGCAGAGTGAACAACTTCTTACCTACCTGAAATATACTGGATTTTACCTATGTCTGCAGATGCTGTTCAGGGCTGATTCTGCTTCTGAATATGATTTTATGAATGAAAAATATACTGAAGGAGAAATTGAAACATTTTAGGAAAAGAGGAAAAGGAGACAAATATGATCAAATGATACAGCAATTTTAATAATAGAGTATGCTGGATAATTTAGCATAGTGAGTTGAGTTGGGCACGGTTCTTTACATTATAATCTATTTTAAAATAGCTTAATATTGCATGAGAGGATACTCTTGTACTGACAGAGCATCTTTAGCAGTCGTGAACCCTTAGGCCAGACAAATGACAGTCTATAAGCTTTGGCAAATGTATGGCAGCTTGAGCTTACTGGGTTTTCAGGCAGTGTGGTACTCAAATGAGTTGATGCAAAAGTAAGAGAGAAATATAAAGCACTGACATTTATTCTTCTGTTCTCTGTTACTGCTCAGTTGTGAGAAGGGTCTGACTAAACTGTAGGCATATTTGGAAGTGGGGAGCCCCAGAATAACTGGTTTGTGTACTTCACTTGGCTGTGAGTGGTGATGACTGGCAGCAAGAAAGCCTCAGCTGTAGTCATTCCTCAGCTCCCAGCCCAGGGATTCAAGTACAGCACTGAGCCAAAGGAACTGCTCAGGTACATACAGGGTCTGTCCCAGGGCTGCCTCAGGGGAGACAACAGGATCAAAACCCTGGCTGTGGTTCAGCTCACAAGGTCCCTCACAAGTGTCAAATGTAGTTCCCTGACAGAACAAGTTGCCAGGTTGTCTCTGTTATGTGCCTTCACATTTCACAGACCACAATGTGGTTCAGAAGCCTCTAACAAGCTTAAGACCTTGATTACAAAAGGGCTAAAACCTTTAATTATAGCACTGTGCCACAGGAGGGAAGACCAAGCACATCAATATTTTGCACTGTTGTTGAAACAAACAATGAAACGCTGCTACATTTGCTGGGGCAGCTGGTATTTATTCACTTATGCTGATACAACCATCACAGTATCACTGTTACCAGTTTTCTGTCTTTTGGAACTTGGGTTCATCTTTTAGAACCAGCATGAGATCCACTGTGATCTGCAGGATAAACCATTCAGTTACCCATTTAAGAAAAGCCTGAGGAATCCTTCTCCAGACACCAATCTTCCAAATCCCTGCTCACCCTGTTAGAGTTACTCATTCCCACTTTTCCTTCAACTGGAGTGGTTTTAGTACTAGTTAAGATTTATTTTACAGAGAAGGAAGGACAGCTTGTGACCTGATAGGTATTTTCCATCTGCAGTATAATGATAAATATGCCTCTGGTGTTCAGCCTTGCTTCTTCTGGCTGCTGCTTTGTGGCTGGAAACTAAACAGATGCAGCAGTGGCCATGCACACACACTGTGATTCAGGAAAGAGCATCTCATGGTAATCCTGCACTAACTGGTACCTGCTGGTCCCTGAAGCCGAGCTGGCTTCTGCCCTTGGAGCAGCCTGGATGCTCCTGCAGCAGAATGTGTCCATGCCTGAGATCATCTTGGTGAGAGGGGACTTTTCGATTGCTGTGTGGCTGGGTCCCTGCCTGCAGTGATGACACGCGGCAAGGCTCTATTTTAGCTCTAGGTTTGATCTGTTTTAGAACACCGTGATGAAAACACACACTGAATGCACAATGATGCTTTCTAGCCCAGGCACAATGACTGCAGGGGATGGGAGATGGTTTGCTGGTGGCAGGCAGTGTGGAGACAGGCTGGGGCTCCTGCTGGCTGCTTTCAGGACATACCGCACGTTTGCTCTGGACTGCTCGGGGCCCTCTTGCTTCCTCATTGCATTTTGCTACTTGCTTCTGCCATTTCTTTTTCTTCCTGATTTTTAAGGCTACCACTTTCTGTGTAATTCATTAGATTTGTCCGTGTATCAGACCTTTCAGTTACGCCTCGTGCTCTGCAAAGACATGTTGCATTGTTATTTTTATTTTAATGTTTCTCACCAATCTTGTTGTACCATACACAGATTAGACTGCTGTCTGGGTTTTAAAATATATTCAGTCAGTGGCTTTAATGGTGGTTTTTATCACAGGAATAATAAAAGTGAACATTGCATCTTAAAATATGAAGCCATTTACCTGTGAAGTTCAACCTTCAGGGTAGTCTCTATTTTCTTTCTCTTTCCATTGCAAATGCAGTATGTGTGAGAAACCAGCAGCCCATCCGTATTCCAATTTGTGTGCTCCGAGGTAGAGAGGAGCATGATGTACTTCTCTGAGATTGGAAAATTACTATCTAAAAACAAATTAAGTAACTAATAGCTTGAGGGATCACTTCATAGGTGAAAGGATTTCTGTCGTTGGAAATCAGATGTATTTGCATTATTCCTCAGTGGCTTACAATTTGTATATGGATTTGTATAATACAAGCTTTCTAGAGATATGACTTTGCTGTGGGTTAATTTGGTGAGTAAATGTTCTTTGTGGTGTGCTGGTATTTAAGACACAGAACAGGCATGGTAAGAACCTGGAAGTCCTTGGCAAAAGGAAGGAGCTCCTTTTCTAGTCTTTGCCACCAGCACCTAAAAATGATGTGTGAGCCCCTCCCCTGAAAATGCATTATTTTAGCACTGGTTCCAGCTGGTGACTTGGAGCATGGGGAAGCCCTGGCCCATGTTTCCATCCAGAGGATGTTGGAGGTGCAGGTGATGAAAATTCATACAAGTTCCAGGGAGCCAAGGGAGGTGCCTCCCTCACACATCAAAGGTAGGCTTCTAGAGCCAGGGGGGTGAATATCTCCCCTGCTGAGGAAGAGCTTGATCACACCAGGTGCTGAGCAGCTCCTAGAGGGGATGAATACTTCCACTTCTCGTTATATTAAATTGCTAATTTTAATGAATCAGAGAAAACAGAAGCTTGGGGCTGGATGGTACCTGAGGGTCATGGAGCACACCTGCCTCCCATGGGATAATGTTTACAGGTGTTTCCCTAATTTAAGCATCTGTTTGTATCACAGATACTTAGTTATTTGAGGAGGGATTGACAAAGGCCTGAGATAGACTGATTTTAGGTTAGCTGCCCCTCAGCTCACAGTGCAGAGGGCAGTGTAACAGGCATGGAGCAGGGACCTGCTGAGGGTAGCACTTCCCAGGCTGGTGCTTCCTGGGAAGTGCCTTGTTAGTCTCAAACTTTCCCAAGTTCTTTCTTTGCCACGCCTTTTTCCCTGGAATATTTCAGGGCTGTTTCACCTTTCCTGCTTAAACAAAAAAATGATTTATTTTCCAAAAATCAGCCTGAACCACCTGAAGATTTTTTTTTTAAAATATTCTGGAACATTCCCTGCTCATATAATTGGAAGCAGTGGGTCTTCGGATCCTGTCTGGACCAGTTCCTTCGTGCCCAGACACCACACCATAGATAGATAAGCACTTTGAAGACAAGCGAGAGTTAATTCTTTATAGCAAATTAGCTTGCTGTGTGATGGCAAACACGGACACCTAGTGGTACTCGAGTGCAGGGCATGTAGATGCTTTAAATTTATCTCTGGCGCAGAAGTAGGTACAGCAGAGTGTCTGTTCACAAGTTTTCCCCTAAAAGAAGAAGAGTTTTGATTATGTCTGTTCACAAGTTTTCCCCTAAAAGAAGGAGAGTTTTGATTATTTTCAAAGAAAGTATCATAGATAGAATAATGTGGAGGAAAGAAAATTTACTTGCCGAGGAGGAGGGAAAGAATTAGGGGAAATTGATAAGATTTATCAGTGCATTTACCGAGGAGTAATCAGGTTTTTTTCTTGTGTCTTAAGTATCTCATGCCACACCAGATCAGATACCATATTTGACTAGAAAGATTTTCTGCTCCTAAATTAGTCCATAGCAAAGAAACCTCAACAAATAGTATAGCAATATCATTCTTGCCATACCTGTGGATGTTTGTACTCCAGTTATGGGGAGATTTTGTCAGCATGATGAACGGTGGGTCTGCTGGTAAACTGCAGAGCCAGGTGCTAACCTGATCTCTTGTGCGCTTTCGTCAACCACTGAGCTCTTTCTGCCAGGATTAATGCAAGCACTCTGTCTGAATGGCCTCAGCTGCCGTGGTTTGTTCTGTTTGTTTTTCCTATTTATTTACAAATAATCTTTCAGAGAAATATTTCCTTCTTCTTCCCCAAATCTAGCATTTCGTCTACGGCAGAGACACAGGACAGGTGAGAACCAGTCCTTGTCCACTGACCCCTTTCTGTAATTGTAAATATCACCTCTGTGAATGGGATTTCTTTCGCATCTGTGTTGTGAGACACACAAACCACTATGCCACAGAGTGGGGAGACGGTGTTCCCATGGGATTGTGCATTCAGGGCTGGTTGGGCTAAGATAAGGGATTTTGAGACTGTGCCAGCTGAAAAGTGAAGTCTGTAGAGATGAGTGTGCTCTCCTCAAGGGCTCCCTCATTCCATCTGATAAGCAGATCCCAGTTCTCTCCAAGATACTCAGCATCTTACAAGATTTCTCCCAATTCAGTCGGATTTAGAAGTTATTTTTTTATAATATGCTTGGGTTTAGCTTCATGTCCTAAGAAATAGGGAGGTTTATGGTATTACACTGTTCTGAATCAGCTTGTTTACTATTCTCATCTTTAATAACTTTTGAATCAGTGGACTAACTAATTTCTATCAAATTTGACACTGGAATAAGGACCTCAAAGATTCCTGCATGCTTCAGGGAAGCACCCAGCCTGCAGAGGAGAAACTCCCAAAAGAGGGCCCCTAATGACAGGCAGACAGCAAGAAATCCACACTGAAAAGGAGCGTTAAGAAAGATTACTCACATCAGAAAAACTTAAGATTTTTGCTCACACCTTTTTAGACACCAAGTATCAACCTCTGAGATCCAAATCTATAAAAAAACACGAATGCCATGAGCTCTGCTGCTTGTGCAATCACTTCCTGTATTTTGTTCTGCTGTATACACACGCACTTATATATCCAGTCTCTGGTTATATGGAGTCTATGATTAAACAGAGACCTGTATTGTTCATTGGGAGCTGCAGGGTGTGAGGGTGAAGGAAAGCAGCAGGTTACCAGCGCTCAGTACGGAAGTAAGAGGATAGATACATTTATTCTTAGATACAAATCCTGGAAGTCAGCGTATAATCAGTCACTCTACGTTTATATATTTACACCTCTGTTTTCCATCAGAGAGCATGGGAGGAGCTCTTCTGATCTGCCTGGTCAGGATTCCCTAGTCTCCCAAGAGGTCCCTCCAGCGAGTTTGGGAAGATGAGGGGATATTTCTTGTCTTGCAAAAAAATTGTAACTGTTTCCTCACTGCACTGGTGGCATGTGGGAATGTGTCTAGCTCATGCTGTAGAGGGGTGAGCTGGAATTTGTCCTGCCTTGAGGGCACAGTGCCAAGGCAGCCTGGGCTATTGCCAGTCTAGAAGTCACCCCGGAAAATCAAGCAAGAAAAAAAGCAAGGTTTCTGAGGGACACCGACAGCTAGAAAATTGACAGCTAGAAAATCTGCCCCCTTTCCCCCCGCCCCGCCAGCATCAAAAGGTTACGGGGTGGGTAGCTTTGACTTCTCACTTCAGCCCAGCAGAATCAATAAGAAGTAAAAGAAACCAGGGCCACAACGTGTTGAACTTTGACAAAAGAAATTATTAACTTGGCTTCTAAGGAATACAAATCTTGTCTTTGCCAGTGTAAATATGATGCAAAGATGATTGCCTTCATCCTGCCCTGACTTCTAATCCTGTTCCTTTTTTTTTTTTTTTTTTTTTTTTTTTTTTTCTCCTGTTGAACCTGGGCAGTTGTCTGGAGGGTGTGAACTAACCGTGGTGCTCCAGGACTTCACTGCGGGCCACAGCAGCGAGCTGAGCATTCAGGTGGGGCAGACGGTGGAGCTGCTGGAGAGGCCAAGTGAGAGGCCAGGCTGGTGTTTGGTCCGGACGACAGAGAGGAGCCCACCTCAGGAGGGGCTGGTCCCCAGCAGCACTCTCTGCATTTCCCATTCCCGCAGCAGCGTGGAGATGGATTGCTTCTTCCCTTCAGGAAAAGGTAGGCACCAGTCCGGCAGGTTAACCACTGTTTCGGATTTCCCCTTTTGTATCATGTAAGTGCGAAGCTGCTTGGGCTGCCCTTGCAGTCAGTGTGGGTAAAAGGCTGTTCAGTCGTTAGTGAGTTTTGTTACCAGATCTCTGTGAAGCGGCGCAGCGCTAGCCCTGCTCCATTTCCATGAATCAATGTTTGTACTTGTGCGTCTTTTGCTGTGTGGCAGTCATTATTGTCTCGAGATTCCGGGTGAAAATAAGACACAAAAAAGGGACTAGTTTTAATGCCTAAAAGCCTGGAGGGAGGGAAAGTCTTGTATATACACCCAGGATTCCCTAAATTGTGGATATGTTATTTTATGAGTGCCACAGCACACGCTAGTGCATGGTCTTTTAGTATATCCCCACTGCCTGTCTATTATTGCAAACAAGCCACCAGTGAGCACTGGTATACTCTACTGACTCGTCAACTGGAGACATTGTGTGTAATGGCACTGTGCACTGGGGAAAGAATCCTTTACAATTAGCATGCAACAAAAACACATACCTGGTATTGTCCTGAGAGCTTGGGCTTCACCTGCAATGAATGGTGAAATATCGTTTGTCTCCGTGGTGTCTGTGGCCTATTTACTTGATGTTCTGTTCTGAGCAATGTGTGTCCCACCTATAGCATCCATGCAACCAGGCATAGGAGACTCTCCAGACTGATAGACCAGTTCAGCGTGGCCACAGCAAGGCCCCCTTTTGGCTGTGCCCCCACTTTTGGCCACGCACAACGCAAGTGAGGTCCAGGGAGGAAAGGCTCATCATCTCGCTCCTGACTCCAAGCCCGCAACCTGAACTGGCTTTTTAAAAAAAAAAATTACTTTTTTTTTTTTCTTTCTGCATTAATGGAAGTAGAATTTGATCCGTTATTGTTTGAGCAAGTGAAGCTTGGTGGTTTTGTTTGTTTTGAGAAAAAGCATTGAAACTGGGCTGTAGTTTGTCCTCACTCCCTGCCTGCACCCCCGGGACAGCACCCCATGGCAGGGCCGGGGTCTGCAATCAGGGTTTCCCTTAAAGAGCTCACTGATCCGAACCTGGGGCGGGAGAGCTGGGCTTTTCCTCTCAGATTTGATCCCCTCAGCAGGTCTCCTTTGGTTTGGCACTCCCCCTTGCCCTGCTTTGCGAGAAGAGGAGGTGAAGTCAGCGCCGTCAGCTCTGTCTGCGGTGCAAACTCCAAACCCGTCACACGCTTCTTACACCCGCTGCCACCTCTCCTCCCTGCCACACGCCCAGGGACCTACCCTGCTTCTGCCGCCACAGGAGGCCGGCCTGGGCCTCAGCTGGTTCTTACGTGTAGGTTGGATCTGTGAATAAGCTGAAAAGTAAAGCTGAAAGTCAGCCTGGTCTGCGTAAGAGCAGCCGCTGACTGGTGTGACTCACAGAAAGCCACAGAAGTGTCTGCTGGGTGCATGGTCCAGAAGTCAGGCTTGGGTCCTCTGCTGAAGGGCGCTGTGAGACACCGCTCAAACTTCATTAAAGTGTGCTAGGTTGTAGAGCCTTTCCTCAAATGAAACAAAACTGAAATTTTCAAGAGTAAGCTGTGGAAAGGGAGGCAGGAAGTCCCAAGGAGGATGGAGACAGGGCAATGCAGGGGCTGAGGGCTGGTGGGGTACGTGGGGACTTTGCTTCTGGCATGATTGTGTGAGCTTCAGGGCACAATTGCACCACAGGGACAGTAAAACGGGCACAGTGCCGGGCTGCTGCTGGTGGACCAGAGCCCACTGATGCCTGGAAGCTACCAGGCTGTGTCAGCACAGCCCCAAGCCTGCACTAGCACGCTTTGCCTGCCTCTGGGGCAGGCCGTCTTAAGTAACACGCTGTGACCACTTCCAGGTTGGAGTTGGCTCCTGTCCCATCATCTCCAAGCAGGTGCAGAGTCAGTCTGGGGCTGGCTGGCTCCAGCCATGCATTCATGGCCTTTATTTCCTTGTATCTCTTTCCCCCTTGGCCCCAGTTTTGCTCCTGCACAGAGCAAAGCTGTATCAGGGAGCCTCAGTATTAATGGGATCTCCAGAAGTGCTGCTAGAAATAATAAAAATAACCGCCCAATCCACAGTTTTGGCCAGAGTACAGCAAATAGGTTCTGCGTCTAATCAGTTCTCCCTCTATTAGGAAAACAGGAAATTGTTTAAACTGAATGAACAGATGCTGGGAATAAAGAGGGGTGAGTTTAAAGGGGAAAATGCAGTAGCCACTGGAAGAGCCTACTGGTCTCATGAGATGCTGGAAGGATATGCATGATAAATAGTTTCTGCCTATTCAGATTCTTGTCCTTCTCTGCTTCCAGTAGCTTTAGGCCTGGGTTGGACTCAGAATTCCTTGGTCCAGGCTTCCAAAATTTCTGGCCTTTCCCTACAAACCAGAACAAAGGCCAGCACATTTTATATGAACATCAAATGACATCCCCTATCTGTTTCAATTATGTAAACATGCACAGATGCAGAAGAGCCAGTTAATAGCTGAATTTTGCTTGCCGTTACCAAGACACATAATTCCTTGCTTTTACAAGCACTCTAATTTCAAGAACAGAAAGTATCTATACTCAAAACTTGACATTTCTAATAATAGAATTTGCCATCTCTGATAGAAACATGCAGAGTTTTGACAAGTATTAAAACATAGTTGCATCTGCTTGTTTGGCCCTATAATAACAAGTATTAAAACATAGTTGCATCTGCTTGTGAGAAATAGCTAATAGTGTTTGGCCCTATAGTATCTTATTCTGGACTGCAAATGTAAATCATGTGGCTCAGAGAAGCTACCTACCATCCTTCAAATGAAAGAGTAACGAAGGTAATACGTCAGCCAACACCTGAACACATGAAGGCTTGAGAGATTTGGTGGGGTCACCAGAACATTTTGTTGATCGATGCAAGTCCTCATCAAACCCAAAAATAAGCCTTTTTAAACAGCCTTACTGAAAGCCACTGCAAGTGTAAAACCAATCTCCACAACTGAACATGTGCTCTGGCTCTTCTTCACTTTTTTACACTCTTGCTTTGAAAATAGGTAATGAATTAACATAAGATATTGCAAAAGGAAAAACATGGTGCGAATAGAAGAGAGCAAACCTGAAAGATAATACTTCCTACCTATTGTAAAGGAATATCTTTACAGAATTCTCTTGTGCTGATCAGTAAAAGCACAGAGACTTTAAAGACTGGTCCAGGAGGCTTCCGTCTTACTGCTGGCTGGGCTCCTTTGGAGGATACCCTTTTGATTTTTTCATGACTTGACTACAGCTCAGAGTCCAAGTATAGTCCTGCCTGGCCTTCCTTTCCAATGATTTGACAGTGTTTGCAGTTAACCTCTGTAAAAAAGGAGAACAGGTTTCTGGGATTCACCTTTTGCAAGTGATTCACAGGTAAAAGGAACCTGTCTGAAGTCTCTGTTACTGTACTCGAGAATTTGTGGGATATTTTTTTTTCCTGACTAGCATTCCTAGGAAGGAAAAAGAAAGACCTGTGACACTAGGAATGAAGCTCTGTTTGAACTGTCCCACGTGGCTAATTACAGAAAAGCTGTGACTTTTACTTCTGTCTCTTTTACCCTATAATTGAGCTCTAAGGTATTAAGCTATAAATTTCAAATTAAGAGAGAAATCCACATGGATAGAAAGCAACGTAATGACCTAGCCAATATCCATTAAGCACACTGTGACAAGCATATTCCTGGTGTCAGCCTGTTAGCTTTGACTGAGTGATTCCAAATTTGAATTTGGCCTATAAAACATTTAAATGAAATCTAGATCTTAAAACTCATGTTATGAACCCTCACCCAGAATTTTTCTGGTAACATCAAAGTCACAGTGTAATTCAAAAAGTAACAAAGGCTAGTTTGTGCAGTAATTTTAAGCAACCTCTATCACCAAAGTGTAATTCAAAAAGTAACAAAGGCTAGTTTGCGCAGTAATTTTAAGCAACCTCCATCATCAAAGGAAAATGAAGTATTAAAAAAAAATAAATATAGGGGTTTATGGCACTTGTTTTAGACTGATGATATGCAGAATAATCCTATCCAGGGCCCCAAACCAGATCCTGTCCGCAGGATACTTGTGTCTGGTACATATCTCTGGAGGGGAAGAGGAATATATTTTTTTAAGATGCTATGCAAACATCTTGCTGTGCAGGCAGATGGCCACTTAACAGCAGTGCTTTGGTGGCAGTGGTGGGTCCTTGTAATGGAGCAAGCTGAGAAACAGTGGGTCTCTTCCAACTAAAGAGGGAACATAGGTCTTGCAAGGCATATGTGAGCAGGGGAAGCACTTCCCAGATGGGCTCTGGGTCATCAGCTGGGAGAGCACCAGGCTTTGGGCAGGAGTTTTGGTGCTGCTTAGGTGACACCTTCTACATTTAAAGAGTTGCCTACCCAGTCCTGCAGCCAGAGAGAGCCTGTGGCTGGTAGGTGCGATGCCAGGCTGGGCTGTGAAAGAAAGAAGCAGAATAAGGATTTAATGAGGCTGGTGAGAAGAATGGTATCAATGAGAAAGAGGTCATGCTGAGAGCAGCGTTTTTGTGACCACTAGTTGTGGGAAAGAGCAGATCATTTAATGGATTAGTGTGCAAAGCTGGTGAGGCTAATCCGGCTCTTGTCAGGGTTGGAAGTCTTTTTCCTCCAGTTCCTGGTCTCAGCAGAGTGATCTGTGTAGGCAAAAGCATAATTGTTTCTTCCCACGTCTCTGTTTTTAAGAACATCTTGAATTTTAGTGGGGGAAAAGAGTTTAGGCTGCTTTTATTGTGTCCCTGTTCCTGTTGAGTATTAAATTGCGATCTGCATTGGCTCACGCACTTTCCCTGTTGTGTTTTCAACAATCTCTGTTGTGAAACATATTCGATGGTAATGATTCCTGGTGTCCCGGGGGAGCTGTGTGAGGACAATTCAGAAGTTTTAGTGCACTGCATTAAACCTTCAGTTGTCCTTGTAGAGGCTAAGAAATTGTTTTTGTTTTTGAAAGTCTTAATT